CTCAAGAATAACAAGATGAATTGAAGCAAAATGCGTATATTTATTTGAAGCATTTCCTTTTATCCTTCAATCTATTATCCTTGAATCTAGCTTGTAAGCACTTCCAACTAAAAGTTGACTTCCAGGCGCATGCAGTGGCTCATACCTGTAACTCCCAGCACTTTGGGAAGCTGAGGTGGGAGGACGACTTGAGGCCAGGAGTTTGAGGCCAGACTGGGCAACATAGACTCTGTCTCTACCAAAAAAAAAAAAAAAAAAAAAGCCCGCGAGGTGGCAGCCTGTAGTCCCAGCTACTGGAGAGGCTGAGGTGGGAGGGTCACTTGAGCCCAGGAGGTGGAGGCTGCAGTGAGCTATGATTGGTGCCACTGCGCTCCAGCGTAAGTGACAGAGAGAAACCCTGTTTTTTTAGGAAAAAAAATAAAATAAAATTGATTTCCATTCTTGAAGTATTGAGGGGAGATAGATATTTCCTGCTGATTGTCTAATTTTTACTAAGAGCTGCTAAATCCCGCCTGACTGGTGCACAGTGGTTCAACAATGACAAACTGGTTGATGAAAAATGGCTCAGAGCACAAAAAAATTCTGACAAGTCTTCCGGTTAATGCCCAGTTTGTCACTGAGACACCTTGAATGCCTCAAAAGTGTCAGAAATCTGGTGGCTCACAGCATCGAAACCTGCTCCAAGGAGACTAACATTTCTCCAGGCAGAAAGGGCGGGGAGAGAAGACTACTAAGAAGTATCTTCCTGAAATCCAGAGGTGTGTTTTGGATCAGAGGAGGAGTTGTGTTTGCGCTCCATCCCCACATCCCTCCAGCAAGAAGACTCCTTCCCAGAATGTGGGTGTCAGTTCCCCACTCCTAAGGTGAAGCTGCCCCGAATGTTCTGGGCCTCCTGGCAGGGGGTCCAACTTAACTTTAGGGACCCTGCCCCAGCAACGCCCGGGTTCTCGGAGAAGCTCCAATCCTCAGGAATGATTTCCAGACCAAAGACCTCAGGTTCGCGCAAAGCAAACGCGTCTGCAGCCCCGGCAGCTCAGCCTTCCACCCCGCGTCGGCTGGAACACCCGACTCAGGGGGCCCACAGCCCTCGCGTCGCCCTCTGCTCGTGGCCCTGGGGATCCCCCCGCCGTCACTCCCGTCACTCCTTCGGGCCGCTCTGGCCCGCCGGGGTTGGGGGGGCCCTATGGTCGCGTCTGGCAGCGTTCCTCCGAAGTCCACCCTCGCGGTCCAGCCGAAGGCGCGGGGTGGGGGGACAGTGAGGTGAGGGGCGAGCTCCGGGCCAGCGCGGGGCGGCGGGGTGGGGGCGGGCAACAGGAAAGAGACGCCCAGGGGGCCTGCGGCCGCCCCCAAAAGGTGGACCTACGTTTACACGCAATGGGAGGCTCCTCCTGTTTTAGTTCGCTTGCCCTGGAACAGGGTGGGGAAAGGATGGAGGGGACAAGGGCAAGAAAGGAGGGCAGGGAAACCAAAGGGGCAGGTGCAGGCGTCGAGACTGGGGTGATGGGGCCTGGGCCAGGATGGGGCTGGTGAGAGGGGACACGTGTTGACAAGAGGTAAGCCATTAGGACCTTACGTGGGCCCAGACCAGTCTAAAATTGTAGGATGTCCCCCAAGGTCACTGAAATTCTGGCCTGACCTGTCTTTCTTGCCCCTCTCTGCCAGAAGTCCCTGAGGCAACCACCCAGGGACCTTGCAGCTTCCCGGGGATGTGCATGCTCACACCGCAGAGACTGGGCTCCCCAACTTTAAAGCCCAGCTCAGAAGTCACACAGGATCCTCTCAGATACTTCCCGCGCCATCCAAGTGCTCTCAGAAGCCCCCTGTGCTCACCGTAGCCCCGGCCCTTACACATCCAATAGCGGTTTGTCGCCTTTCGTTGTGCTATTCAGTTGTGAATCTCCAACACCGCACTTACTGTCCCGTACAGGCAACAGTAACATGAAGCTTCCAGAAACAACAGAAACTGTGAGTCCTTTGAAAATGGGTGTGACTCTCATTCATTCTGGGAATCTACTACCATTGAAAAAGAATAAAGATGTCTGATGCAAAGACCCAAACTAAAAGGAATTAGAGAGCTTTCCAGTCCTCACCTGACATCCCCAACTTCTTCCACAGTCCATTCCGCCCCAGCTTGAAAGGTCTCTCAAAGGAGGCCAAACTTCAAGCTGGGGATACTTACAACCCTCCCTTCTCCCCACTCCCAGCTTACTGTCATTCTGGACAAATCTTAAAAAACTAAAAAAGTCAAGTGGCTTGATGTTAAAGCCAGCTTCCACTAGGCTGCAGACTGAATAAAACAAAGGAACATAAAGCAAGCCTAAATGTAGTGTAAAACGGGTGCCCCATGGCAGTTATTTTTTCTACAAGTTCTGGATAATAAAATTAAGATAGAAAAAAGAAATAACTAAGGAATTAACTTACAAGGTAAAATATCAGCAATAATTAATTATCAAAAAGGATCCCACTCACAGCAACAACAAATGTGGGAATAACAATAAAAAATACGTACGAGTACTTCATTAAAAGAAAACATTTACAACTTGAATGGAGAAAAATTTTTTCAAATGTAAATTCTTCTCAAATTAATTTTACTTAAATTAAGAATAAAGTCCCAGGCCGGGCGCGGTGGCTCACGCCTGTAATCCTAGCACTCTGGGAGGCCAAGGCGGGCGGATTGTTTGAGCTCAGGAGTTCGAG